GGTGGTTTCCACCTTCTGGCTACCAGGAGTAAGTGTGTGCTGAACATTTGTTCCAAGTTACAATTTGTTACAACATTTGTTACAAGAAGGCATGTTTCCATTTCTCTTGGGTCTTTACCTAGCAGTGTGGTGGCTGGATCAGATGGCAGCTCTGTGTGGAACTGTTGGAAGACGTGCCAGACTGTTCTCCACAGCAGCTGCTCCACTTACATTCCCACCAGCAGCGTGTGAGGTTTCTGACTTCTCCACATCCTCACCAACATTTGCTGTCTGACTTGTTGATTCTCCCCACCCTAGCGGGTGTGACCTCATATCTCATTGTGATCTTGATTTGCATTTCCGTGATAACTCATAATGGTGAACATCCTTTTCCAGTGCTTTTTGGCCATTTGTGCCTCTTCTTTGGAGAAATATATATATATTCAGATCCTTTCCCCTTTTTTCATTGAGTTGTCATTTTATTATTGAGTTGTGAGAGTTCTTTATATATTCTAGACAAGTCCTTTATCAGATACATGATTTGCAAATAGTTTCTCATATTCTGTGGGGTGTCTTCACTTTCTTGATGGTGTCCTTTGAAATAGAAAAGTTTATGAGGTCCAATTTATCTGTTTTTTCCTTCGGTTGTTTGTGCTTTTGAGTCATGGCTAAGAATCCCTTCTAAACCCAAGGTCAAGAAGATTTATGCCAATGTTTTCTTCTAAAAGTTTTATGGTTTGGCCTTTTACATTGAGGTCTGCAATCCATTTTGAGTTAATTTTTTGTATGGTGTGAGCTAAGGGTCAAGCTTCATTCCTTTATGTATGGTCCCTTTCTCTTCTAATCTTTACAAGTATCTTCCCCTGATCTGTCCTCACTCCATTATCTTGGATACAATGTCCTTTGTGGAACAGAAACAGACTGCACTTCTCAATGTCAAATTGTTCCTATAACTCTCTTTGGATCCAACATCTTCAAGTCTCCGTGGAGTTGGTGAGCCCATAATGGAGATTAACCAAGTCTCAGCCCTTCAGACCAATGAAGGAGGAAGGATGTAAGGGAAGTCATTATATAAATCATCATCTTAGCATTTAAAACTAATCCCCTTCCTTGAAGACATCAAAGGCCTTCTGGAACTGCAAACGGGTAACAGGTTGACTAATTATTTTCTTCTTCCTTCATCTAGCTGTCACTAAATACCAAAATGACTTGCAGTGCAAGTAGCAGGGAGATAATGATGAGAAAGACAAAAGACAACGAAAGAAGAAGCAATCAAGACTTGGTGATTAGGGGATGATCTTCTTCCAAGGCTCATACTATTCCTGATTCTATTCTTTCCCTCTGACCAGAAGCTCCTTCCTTTGCCCATGTCTACCTTACCATCTCCCTGAGCCACATCGTGCTGCAACCCACCCCTCACCTCCCGGTTTCCCTTTTTTCCCCCGCTTTCTGGGCAAGAGCCCCAGCCATCCTGAGTGATTTTGTCCCCAGCCAGCTCCTCCATCCTTTCCCTATAGAGATGGCTAACAAGACCTTCTGACTAACTCAGTGGCTTCTCTCTCCCCGGCTCTTCTGTCTCTGGGTCCCTATTCTACAAACGGGTCAAATCCTCTGTTGTTGATGTTGGTGTCCATCTGCACCAGCCCCAGCTTCTGCCCTTTGATCTGTTTCAGGGAGGCTACTTGCTAATAGACGTGCACTCGTGTTTCTCTCTGGCCTCTGAAACTTGCCACCTGCCCTAACAGATCATGGCACAATGCAGCTCGAAACAGGGAGGACGATACTTGACGCTTGAGGAAGATGCTCCTGAAGCAGGAGGAATGAGAGGGAATCAGACCAAGGACAGTGGGCTTTTTGGGAAAACAGAAGTGGACCCTGGTCACTAAAGTGGTGAAGGACTGGGGATTTTCCAGACGTGGGTACCTGGAAGGGGTAATAGGAGCCCCCCAGACCACAGCAGCCAGAGCCCTGTGCACTTCCTCATGTCCCCGCCTGCTGGGGAACCCCTGAGCTGTAGGAGGTTCCCCTCCTTGGTCAGCCCGTGCCTCACCCTGTCCCTCCCTCCAGGGCGGGGTCGATGGAGCCATAAAGCTCAAGGGGTCAGAGACAAAGCAGCAGAGGCGAACCCAGAGCAGAACACACAGGTGCGTTCTGATGGGGGAGGCCGGGGGCAGTGGACAGGGGGGCTGGAGGGAGGGGAGCATGGGAAGAAGGGCATGGAGAGAAGGGCAGGAGAAACACAGACACGGAAGGGGAGGTGAGCCAGAATGCAAGGGGCAGGAGCCCAGAGGGAAGGAGTCCAGGGTGCAGCACACTGGGGTGCAGGTACAAACTGCCCAGGGGCGAGATAGGAAGGGCACAGCCAGGGCCTGGATACCATTCTTGGGGTGCTGGGGATGAGAAGTGGGGAAGAAGGGCATGTTTCACTTGTGGTCTCACTGGCCACCAAGTTCTCCCTCCTCCAGTGGCTTCATCACCATCATGTACCTCACCCGCTGCCTGCTTGGACTTTGGAATAGAAGATTGTACTAGGAAAGGTAAAAGTGAAAGGAATAGCCAAGTTCAGGTTAAAAGGACCACAGATCACCTGCACATCTCCCTCCTTAGCAAAGTAGAAAGAAATTTGGAATTAAGAGATGATGATAAAATAGGGATAGTGGCCATGAAAATACATGGAGGAATTTAAATGAATATTACTAAATGAGAGAAGCCAATCTGGGAAGAGCTACATACTGTGTGATTCCAACTGTATGACATTCTGGAAAAGGCAAAAACAAAACTATGGAGACACTAAAAAGATCAGTGGTTGCCAGGGGTTAGAGAGAAGGGAGGGATGAACAGGTGGACAGGTGGAGCCCAGAGGATTTTTAGGGCAGAAAAATGGCTCCGTATGATCCTATAATGATGGATGCATGTCATGGTACATTTGTCAAACCCCGTAGAATGTACACCACCAAGAGTGAACCCTAATGGAGGCTCTAGACTTTGGGTGACAACGATGTGTCAGCGTGGATTCATAGATAGTAACAAAAGTCCCACTTTGGAGAAGGATTTGTTCACTGGGGAGCGGTGTATGAGTGGGGGTGGGAAGTGCTTGGGAAATCTCTGCATCTTCTCAATTTTGCTGTGATCCTAGAAATGCTCTAAAAAGCAAAATCTTGGGCGCCTGGGTGGGTCAGTCAGTTAAGCCACTGCCTTTGGCTCAGGTCATGATCCTGGAGTCCTGGGATCGAGTCCCACATCGGGCTTCCTGCTCAGCAGGGAGTCTGCTTCTCCCTCTGACCCTCTTCCCTCTCGTGCTTTCTATCTCTCATTCTCTCTCTGAAATAAATAAAATCTTAAAAATAAATAAATAAATAAATAAATAAATAAAATCGTTTAAAAAAATAAAAAGCAAAATCTTTTTTTTAAAGGAGGTTTGACAAAATTTAATAGCAGAAGACAAGCTCACCCCATATCCTTTTGTTGGCTCTGGATTCAACCCAGCAGCCCCTAAGTGTCCCCCACGCCCTTCAGGCTGGAGAACACAAGGTCATATGAGTCCAGGACTTCCCACCAGGGCCAGCAGAGGAGACGAGACAACCAGAGGGGACTGTGTTGGCAGCCCTGGGGGTGGGAAAATGAGGTGAAGACCCTGACCACAGCCCCCCAAAATGGAAGGGAAAGGGCATATCCCCAAATGCCACCTGGGATGGCTCCACCCTGTTTGGATGGTCAAGCCACCACAACTGGAGAGCGCCACCAGAGGGGCCAAAAAAGCCTCTGGCCACCAGGTCCTCACCCTCAAAGCCACAAGACTACAACCTAATCACAGTTGAATTACTTCACATTGCTTACATTTTTTTAAATGTGTTGGCATCACAGACTGTATCTTCATAGTTGACTTTTTTTTTAAGATTTTATTTATTTATTTGACAGAGAGAGAAAGAGAGACAGCAAGAGAGGGAACACAAGCAGGAAGAGTGGGAGAGGGAGAAGCAGGCTTCCCGCTGAGCAGGGAGCCCGATGCGGGGCTCGATCCCAGGACCCCGGGATCATGACCTGAGCTGAAGGCAGTTGCCTAACGACTGAGCCACCCAGGTGCCCCCATAGTTGACTTTAAAAAAAGGAGTGTAGCTAGCATTTCCTGACTGCTTCCTAGAAGGTGGACATTGTCCTAGATGCTTTATCCTTATTGTCCAATTAATTTCTTACCCCAATTCTAGGAGGTACTATGGTTGTTATTTCCAGTGTAGTTGAGAAAGTGGAGGCCCAGAGAGTCTGAGCTACTTGCCCAAGGTCACACAGCTGGTCCTAGTGGCAGGTCGCACCAGCACCTGACCCCAAGCAGCCTGACTCTGGAGTCGACTCTGTGAACTTCTACACTAAATTTCAAAATATATCTACATAAAAAGTATTGTATTGTATCAAAAAATGTAGTTTTGCTATCCATTCCCCATGACACGATAAGCACTCTGAGGCATTTGGATTTGGATTACTCATAATCTAAAGGTGGAGAGGTAAGAGCCCAAGGTTCTGCCATGCTGAGAAAATACATAAAAAAGGGCAAAATGAGTTTATATAGGTAAGAAAATGCACGGGACTATCAGAGGTCTGCGGATGAGCAAGGAGAGAGCAGAATTAAAATTGATGGGAAAGGGTGTCTGGGTGGCTCAATTGGTTAACCATCTGCCTTCAGTTCAGGTCATGATCCCTGGGGTCTGGGACTGAGTCCCGCATCGGGCTCCCTGCTCAGCGGGGAACCTGCTTCTCCCTCTCCCTCTGTACCTCCCCCTGCTTGTGCTCTCTCTCTTTGTCACATGAATAAATAAAATCTTTTTTAAAAAATCGATGGGAAGCACAGATCTAAACAGCATTAGGTCCCCAGCTGCCATGGAGGCCTGGGGCGGCGGAGGGAGGGGGCTGAGTCTGTAGGAAAACCACCAGGCAGGGGACATCGCCATCCAAAGCTCCAGCCTAGAGGAAACCCACTTCCTCCCATAAACCAACTAAGTTCATCTCTGCTACTGCATTCCAGAGCCATGCAGCCAGATACCCTGGCCCTCGGCTGGGCCATAGCTGCCATCCTGGTGCTGCAGGCGCTGGCCACGGCCAAGTGCCCCTCACGGACCCTGCACAGCCAGGCCGGAGTGTTCGAGGACCTGAGCGCCCAGGAACTGAAGGCCGTGCGCAACTTCCTCTGGTCGCAGGAGGAGCTGAAGCTGGAGTCCTCCCGAGCACCCACCATGGCCAAAAACTCCGTGTTCCTCATTGAGATGTTGCTGCCCAAGAAGCAACACGTACTGAAATTTCTGGACAAAGGTGGAAGGCCTCCCGCCCGCGAGGCCCGAGCCGTCATCTTCTTCGGAGCCCAGGCGCATCCCAATGTCACGGAGTTCGCGGTGGGGCCCCTGCCGCGGCCCTGCTACATGCGAGAGCTGCCTCCCAAGCCGGGGCATCACACAACCTGGGCCTCCAGGCCCATCACCGGGGCCGAGTACGCCCTCCTGGCCCAGGCCCTGCAGGAGGCCACCAAGCCCCTGCACCGATTTTTTCTTGATACCACAGGCTTCTCTTTCCAAGACTGTCACTCGCGATGCCTGACATTCACAGACGTGGCGCCTCGGGGCGTGGCCTCCGGCCAGCGCCGCTCTTGGTTCATCTTGCAGCGCTTTGTAGAAGGCTACTTCCTGCACCCCACGGGGCTGGAGCTCCTCATGGATCACGGCAGCACCAACGCCCAAGACTGGACGGTGGAGCTGGTCTGGTACAACGGGAAGTTCTACCAGAGCCCAGAAGAGCTGGCACGGAAGTATGAGGAGGGACAGGTGGACGTGGTGGTTCTGGAGGACCTACCCGCCAAGGGCCAGGGCGGGGAAGGCACAGAGGAAACACCCCTCTTCTCCTCCTACAAGCCGCGCGGGGCCTTCCCCACCCCCATCCCCGCAAACGGCCCCCGCCTGGTCCAGCCCCGTCACCGCTACAGACTGGAGGGCAACACCGTGCTCTACGGCGGCTGGAGCGTCTCCTTCAGGCTGCGCTCGTCCTCGGGGCTGCAGATCCTCAACGTGCTGTTCGGCTGCGAGCGCATAGCCTACGAAGTGAGCGTGCAGGAGGCGGTGGCACTGTATGGAGGGCACACGCCCGCGGGCATGCAGACCAACTACATCGACGTGGGCTGGGGGCTGGGCAGCGTCACGCACGAGTTAGCGCCCGGCATCGACTGCCCGGACACAGCCACCTTCCTGGATGCCCTCCACCACTACGATGCCGATGGCCCCGTGCGCTACCCCCGAGCCCTCTGCATCTTTGAGCTGCCCACGGGAGTGCCCCTTCGGCGACACTTTAATTCCAACTTCAGTGGGGGCTTCAACTTCTACGCGGGGCTGCAAGGCCAGGTGCTGGTGCTACGGACCACGTCGACGGTCTACAACTATGACTATATCTGGGACTTCATCTTCTACCCCAATGGGGTGATGGAAGCCAAGATGCATGCCACCGGCTACGTCCACGCCACCTTCTACACCCCCGAGGGGCTGCGCTACGGGACCCGCCTGCACACGCACCTGCTTGGCAACATGCACACTCACTTAGTGCACTACCGCGTGGACCTGGACGTGGCAGGTAGGACCCAGGCTTGGAACCACCCTCCCAGCCAAACATCTGCCTTCCTGCGGGAGATGGTGCTGAAACTTTCCTGGAGGCATAGAATCAGGAGCCTAGCCTGCCTCTCTGCAACTACGGGGCTAGACATCTAGGTGCCCCTGAAAAGCAGTGGAAGTGACCAGCATGTCCATGGCCCTGAATGCGGGCAGTGGGCCCTGCCCTGGCCCTGGGGCTCCTTGACCCCTAGAGGGTTGGATGGGGCAGAACAGTGCGCATGTGGGCTTAAGGGTGGGGACAATGCCTAAGGGTGTAAGAAATGTCACTGCCTACGGCTATGTCGGCCACAATACTCATTGTCTCCTGCATTAACGTCACCATGAAACATGGCAGGGGCATCATGACGGGCTTTGGCTGCAGAACAGGCCTGACTCTGAGTTGTCTTCTACTTCCTCTGTTAATTTTTTGGTTTTAATTCTTTCCTTCTACCCTACAGCTAGCTCAGTGCATATTCCCAACATCCTCTTTGCTCCACTCCTGATGGTTTGCTCTTGGATGTGGTCTGGGATGGAGATCCCAGCACAGAAATGAGGGTATTTCAGGTCAGGGGGATTCATTCTCATTGTCCTTCTTCCTGCGCATCTGCAGGCACCAAGAATAGCTTCCAGACCCTGCAGATGAAGCTAGAAAACATCACCAACCCCTGGAGCCCAAGACACCACCTGGTCCAGCCAACCCTGAAGCAGACAAGTTACCACCGGGAGCGCCAGGCGGCCTTCCGCTTCGGACGACTTCTGCCCAAGTACCTGCTCTTCACGAGTCCCGAGGAGAACCGCTGGGGTCATAAGCGCAGCTACCGGCTACAGATCCACTCCATGGCCGACCAGGTGCTGCCCGTGGGCTGGCAGAAGGAGCGGGCTGTCACCTGGGCCAGGTAAGGGAGGCCTGGGAGGCAGGGGAGGGCTAGTATTCATGTGTCTCTGTGTGTCATTGTGTCTGTCTATGAGATTCTGAGTCTACGTGGTGGTGTATCTGGGCCGGTGAACGTGTGTGTGTGTTTTCTGAACCTGGGGCTCTGTGTTTGGGGAGGGGGAGGGGAGAGCCGTGCCGAGCACCTGAGCCTCAATTGATGGTTGGTCGGTCTGGCTGACCTCCAGGAGATGATCTCACAATGGGGGGAAGACAGTAACTTCCCCCCATCGTTGACCCTGAAGATGTCTCTGGGAGGGCTGGGAGGTCCCCTGGCACCCAGAGCCACCTGGCTTCTCCTCTGGGCAGGTACCCCCTGGCAGTGACCAAATACCGGGAGTCAGAGGTGTGCAGTAGCAGCATCTATAACCAGAACGACCCCTGGGACCCACCTGTGGTCTTTGAGGAGTTTCTTCACAACAATGAGAACATTGAAAACGAGGTACTGGGGGCGCCTGGGTGGCTCAGTTTGGTTAAGTGTCTGACTCTTGATTTCGGCTCAGGTCATGATCTCAGGGTCATGGGATAGAGCCCCGAGTCAGGCTCCATGTCCAGTGGGGAGTCTGCTTGAGATTCTCCCTCTCCCTCTGCCCCTCCCCCCAGCTTGTGCGTGTGTGTGCTCTCTCTCAAATAAAGAAAAAAAAAAAAGAAAGAAAGAAAACAAGGTACTGGCCCTGCCTTCCTCCAGGCTTAGACCAAGGCCAGACCTGTGCAGGGCCCCAGGGTGGAGAGCATAGCTCACTGTGTGACGGACGAGCTCAGCGGTCTGCCCATTCCTTAAACATAGGGCTTGAGGGGGTTGCCCGCCCCTCCCCCCTCTGAGCCTCCTTAGCGCTTGCCCACCCCTGTCTCCCATAGGACTTGGTGGCCTGGGTCACCGTGGGCTTCCTGCACATCCCCCACTCAGAGGACATCCCTAACACGGCCACACCCGGAAACTCTGTGGGCTTCCTTCTCCGGCCTTTCAACTTCTTCCCTGAGGACCCATCCCTGGCATCCAGAGACACCGTGATCGTGTGGCCCCGGAACAGCGGCCCCAACTACATCCAGCACTGGACCCCGAAGGAGGAGGAGGGGGACTGCTTGATGCCTGACCCTTTTAGCTACAATGGAACCTACAGGCCTGTGTGAAGGACCCTCTGTCCCCAACTAACCCCACATAGAAGCCCAGGTGCCCCCCGGGGAAAGGCAATAAAGCCCTGGGGGCTCAGCTCTGTGTGCTGCTTCTTGGGGGGAGGACACACCCAGTTGAGAAAGCAGGTGGCCTTGACCTCCCTTCACCTTGGTCTACTCCACCCCAGAAAAGACCTCCATCACTAAGGCAAGTGATGCTCACTGAAATACTAGATTCACCTATCAGATTGGTTTTAAAAAACAGACTGGCAGCTCCCTCTCCGGGCTCTGCAGAGGACTCTGGGATGTCGCTGAGGGGCAGGCAAAGTCCTGCGGCCATAGGAGGATGCTTCAGAAAACGGGCAAAACTGCCAACACCTCTACCCTGTGACACACTGATTCAGTTCCCAGGGCTTTATTCCAGGGGTCTCCCTACAAACACAGGAAAGACATGTGCTCACAGTGATTCACTGCGGCGCCACTTGTAATAGCAGAGTCTGGAAGCAACCCAGACGTCCATCTACAAGAGAGACCCCTCGGGTGTAACCCAGACGTCCATCTACAAGAGAGACCCCGCGGGTGTAACCCAGACGTCCATCTACAAGAGAGACCCCGCGGGTGTGAATAAACAATGTACAGCCACACAATGCAATCCGGGTGATTGTATGGGCAGGGACATTCTCTGCACTGGTGGGGAAAGAGCTTCGGGATGCAGATACCCCAGAAAGACAGGCAAGGAGATAACTAAAGCCTGTTGTCTTAGTCTGGTCCAGCTGCTGTAACAAAATCCCTCGGACTGCATGCCTTATGAACAGCAGAAGTCTATGGCTCACTGTTCTAGAGGCTGAAGTCCAAGATCAGGGTGCCATCAAGGTTGGGTGAGGGCCCTCTTCTGGGTCACAGACTTCTAATTTCTGGATGTGTCCTTGCATGGTGGAAGCGGGAGGGAGCCCTCTGGAGTCTCTTTTATAAGAACATTGCTCCCATTCACTAAGGCTCCATCCTCCCGACCTAAGCACCTGCCAAAGACCCCAAGTCCTAATACAATCACGTTGAGTGTTAGGACTGCAATATGAGTTGGGGGAGTGATACACACATTCAAACAGTAGCAGCTGAAGGTGATGGGAGAAGTGGATGACATTGGGGAGGAAGCAGGAGTCCTCAATGTAAACCAAGCCCCAGGGAGTGCACCGACTACCCATCTTCTCCTCTCCTTTGCTGAGTTGTTTTCATTTCTTAATCATGAGAATGTATTACCCATTTGAAAAAATTTAAATCTAAATTTTAGAAGAGAAAGGGAGGGAAGAAAAGAGGGACTCTTGTTGCTCATTGATGAAACTGATTGATAAGGCAGGCTGCTTCCTCCCAGGTCCCTACCCCTTCTCAGACTTTCTCCTCCAATTCCAAAGAGGAGAAGACACGGGGAAAATAATCGGCCCACGGATGTGGTTGGTTCTCTCTTCCCTCTCCATCACGCCTCTGAATGAAGACTTGGTGCATTCCCACCTGAGAGTTGGCCTACCCCTCCCCCTCCTGTTCTTCTTTATCCTCCATCCAAATGGGGGGAGGGGTGGCCATCATTCCCTTCTCTCCCTGCCATGCACCCCGCTGTTGGGACGATCTGAGACTTGAGTTTGGGCTTTCGAGGGGCTCCCAGGACAGCCCCCTACCTCCCTTATCTGATGTAGTCTCCCCTAAAAGAAAGCTGCATGGGCTCACCCACTAGGCTCGGGGGGCCCACCCCTAGCTAACCTTCACCGTGACCTTGTTTTCCTCTGCCATTGTTCTGGTTGCCTGTTCCTACCCCAGGAATCTGGTGGGAAGGTGTGGCTGTGGTGAGGGCAACATTAGTCTGGGTTCCCTGGTGCCCAAGGGATGTTAATCAAGCAAACAAACTTGCATTGTGCTTAATATTCCAGGAACCCCCTGGAATAGCTTTTATTTGTATGGCAGTAAGAGGGTGAATCTTAAGCTTTTCATCTTAACACCGTTAAGACCAACATTATAGGATGTGGACACAGCACTTTTGTAACAACCGATACATTATTTAAAATAGCAACAATTTTTATCTTAGCCATTTTTTAAAATTTTTGAAATTATCTGAGCGTTGTTTCAAAGCTTTGGAACTCCTAAAACACAAAAGATTATGAATGTCCACCACAGAAAAAGGAAGAGAGCAAACTTTTTAGCACTAGGGGAGGAAATCTAATCCTCTTAGGAAGGGTTAATAGTTCAGTAGACAATAACTCCTTCTGAAGGGGAGACAGGAAATGCATTTGCTTTGAAACTTTTTACTTTTAATTAACCTTCAGCCTTACTGGAGTAGCTGCTCACTGTGCTTTAAAAATTCTTTTTTTTTCCCTCATCCTACTTTCCTCAAGTTATCCCTATCATGAGTCTCCTGCATCCTAACATCATTCTAACGTCTGGCAAATTCCATTATTAACCCATAGGTTAGCAACAACAACAAAAAGAATATTATCTAAAGGATCCATCTCTAACAACAACAAAAAATTATGAGACACACAAAGAAACAGGAAAGAGTGACCCCCACACATGGAGGGGGAGCAGAAAACAGAAACTATCTCTGAGGGGACCCAGATGTAGAACTTAGCCAAAGTATCAAAACAGCCATTATAAGTACATTCAGAGATCAGAGGGAAACCATGCTTGAAGAAGTAAATAAAGCTGTGACAAGGTCTCAGCAAACAGAGAATATCACTATAGAGATATAAACTATTTTTTAAAAGAACCAAACGGAGGGATGCATGGGTGACACTGTTGGTTGGGCCTCTGACTCTTGGTTTCAGGTCAGGTCCTGTTTCCTGGGGGCCAACATGGTTATGAGCCAATTTACTGAACAATCAGAGCTGGATGGTGTGCAGAGTAGAAATGGAGGGTCCCCCTCTCCATTTGCTGCCTTTCAACTTGTTGCACTGTTCCTGAGGCCCTCCCCTGGCCCCTCTCCTCTGTTCTGTCACGCTGGGGACAGGCACTGTGGCTGGGGCTCCTAAGCTACAGGTCCCACCCCGTGGGGAAGCCCTGGTGGGAGACTGGGTGGGGAGGGAGAAGGTGGGTCTTTGTTCTCCCCTCACTCCAGCTGGGACAGACAGGCCTGCAGGGGTCCAGCTTCCACCGCTGAGCCTGGCCACTGGGTCTAGGAGCACCTTTTCTTCTCGTTGTCCTCGGATCCTGGGCTGGAATATTTTCCCTGTTATTGCTGGTAGGCTCTTTTATCCTGTTCTTAATGACACTGGGAGCACATCCTACCATCGCTTTTGATTATGTTCCTGTATTAAACAGCCCCATCAAGTTAATTTAAAACTCCCACCTGACATCCAATTCAAAGTTTCCCTCTCCTCCCAGTTCAGCCTGACCCCAGGTCCAAGGGTCCTGGCCTGGGGATGAGTTGGGTTGGCTTTCCCTCCCTGCCTGTTCTTCTGCTCAGGCTCTTGGGGGCCAGGCTAGGGTGGGATGGGGATGGAGGGAAAATTGCCCTACTGATGTGGCCTGTTCTTGCTGTCCTTGGGCTCTGGATGGCAGGTGGTGGGTATGTGAAACCCATTGGTTGAGAACCAGGTGGAGAACAGTGAGCTGTTTTGGGACCCTCTCCTGCTGGGTGAGGGGCATATCTGCAGCGAGCAGGGAACTCATGGTTGGGGCTTTGGGGTTGTGTGATGCTCAGTGATGTCGAGACAGTACATGAAATTCTAGGTCTTATAATACATGGGGTCTTATGTGCTCAATGTTGTCAGCTTTGGGCTTTACAAAAGATCCATAGACACTGAAAAAGGCCCGTTCTCTTGGGACTTTTCCGGTCCTTGTTCTCATCTTTCTTTTTAATTAATTAGCTACTCTCACGGTGAGAGCCTGGGCATCTGCTCAGACCCACGGTCAAGTCTAAATCTGCTCAGGTCATGACCTCAGAGTCATGGGATTGAGCCCCACGTCAGGTTCTGCGCTGGGCTCGGAATCTGTTTGAGACTCTGTGTCCCTCTGCCCCTCCCCCCCACATAAATAAATAAAATCTTCAAAAATTAATAAATAAAAGGAGCAAATGGAAAATCTGGAGTCAAAAAGTACAATCCCTGACATGGAAAATTCCCTGGAGAACCTGGACAGTGGATTTGCTCTCACGTCTACACTAGAATTCCCAGCCATGGTCAGGAGGCAATCCACATCAAAGAGGGACAGCCACATGCAGCCACGTGTCGGTGACCTGGCAGCAGGTTCTGGGCTGACAAGACAGGTCACTGCCTGAAGCATGTGTGGCTGTGTCCCCCAGCAGGCCCCCCACCGGGCTGGGGCTCCCCTGTGGCTCCCAGTCCGCTGTCCCTGCTCAGCCCTGCTTTCCTCTAGATTTGGAGGCCTTCGTACACTTGGCACATTTTTGTTCAGCCATGACATTTAAGGTCCTCATGGTTACCTCTGCCCAGGGCGAAACAAAATGCTGATCTCGACAAGGTCTGGCCAGTGATGCTCAGATAATGCCAGGGTGATCTGGACCCAAAGTCACATCCAGTCAGTGGTCCTTGGGGTTAATCTCCTGGAGGAGGACCCCTGACCACACCCTTTGGGGTGAGCAGATCTTTCCACCCAAATCATGGGCACATCCAGTAATTTGCCTCCCACACGGTCAGGCTGGCCCCACGGTCCTCTCTGGCAGCTCACAGACCCCAGCATATAGGGTCAGCGAGAGGGAAACTCTCAGAGCTGCCCAGACATCTCTTTGTGTGTTTAGTTGGGGGGTGGGGGGCAGTGGCAGTGGCAGACGTCCCCAAGAGACAGACCCTTGTTATACACACCTCCAGCCACCCGTACTTGCCAGAGGCTCAGACCCCAGGAAAAGGGGGCGGGGTTGGTCCTATGCATTTTCCCCCAAGACAAGGCCAAAGTCCCAGCTCTTCCTGGGAAGAAAGGCTGGCGGGCACCCCCATACCAGGCTTGGCAAAGCTGTCAATTCGGGAGAGCACTGACAGAAGGAGAAGCACAGGGCTGGGTTATGAGTGGGAAGAGACACCCCCACCCCACCCCCAACCTGCTTTGCAAAAGACTACAGAGATCGCACTGAGAGAAAACCAGGATTTACACCCTCAGC